TTTTCACAAATTTAAATAAAAAACATTAAAAATGATACTCAGTGAAGTGAAAATCTTCTGTCACAGAGCTTTCTGTGTATTGTAAAATTTATTGGTTCGACTTGTTTGCACTTTTAAAAGTTTAAAAATTATTTTTAGAACAGCAGTGGCAGTGTTGCTCCGTATTTCTGTAGTACTGCTTGTTGACCACCAGATGGCGGCGGTTTAAAGGGCTTCTGTTTCTGCAGCACCTGTTTCACCTGTGAAAACTGTGTGACCACGGAAATATCTCCAGATGTAAATGAGCTGCATTTAAGACAGAAAGCTCCTTAAAAATAAAACGTTTTCTCTTTTTCAGCCACGAACTTCTGACTTTTCAAGGTCAAACAAAAATAGATTCACAGATACTTCTATGCAAAACGAAGCAGAACATCAAATTTGTGACTGATTCAAAAGTTTTTTTTATAATTAATTAATTAAAATATAATTCATGTAATTAAATGTAATAAATTACATCTTTAAAACTTAGCTGCCAGCTCTTTATTTCTTTACTTTTACCTGCAGTGACTCTGTTACTCTGTAATGTTTGTCTCAATTAAATTAATAACCGTCAGCTGGTTTTATTAATTTGATCTGTATTTTCTAAACAGCCAGAAATTCCTCTCTTGTGTCTCCTGCTGAGGGACGGTGCAGCTGAAACATCTGGTGAGTCCATCAAGCTTCATGTCACAGATGTTAAATACAAATTACTGCAGTTATATTTCTGTCTGTTTCACAGACACATGTGATGCTAAACCTCCAAACAGCAGCAGCTACGACCAAAGGCCTCCTGACAGTGAGTTCGACTGAACGGAGAAAAAGTTCATGTGAGAAAAAGTGTGGAGTCGTCTTTCTGCGACACGAGTCAGACTCCACACCTCGAGTTTAAACCTGCAGGATGATGATGATAAAGGAAAAATGATACTGGAGGCAAACAGAGAGAAGTGTTAGCCTCAGCACTCAGAGGCTCACGTACACATTTCCAACAAGACAATCTGATATAGTTTAAACGTTAAAGCAACGCAGTAACAGGGAGACTGAGAACAAACACACAATGATTCTGTGCTGAAGCAGCTAAGACGACGTCATCATCACAGAATAAATAAATCAGGTTTTTGTTTATTTTTCAAATTGAAGTTGAAATGAAACCAAAAAATATTCAAGAACAAAAATGAATGATTCATCATTTTCTTTTCCTTCATGTGTTTCAGCTGTCATGTTCAGGCTGGTTGAAGCTTGTCAGCTTTGTTTCTTATCTGAAATCTGAACATATTGTTTTCCTGCCGAGTGCAATGATGAGTATCAAACATGTTGGTTTATGCTTATTTTTGTGGTAAATGGCCTGCATTTGTATAGCGCTTTTCTAGTCCATAGGACCCCAAAGCGCTTTACACTACATTCAGTCATCCACCCAGTCACACACACATTCACACACTGGTGATGGCAGCTACATTGCAGCCACAGCCACCCTGGGGCGCACTGACAGAGGCGAGGCTGCCGGACACTGGCGCCACCGGGCCCTCTGACCACCACCAGTAGGCAAACACGGGGTTAGTGTCTTGCCCAAAGATATTTGGGATCGAACCACTGACCTTCTGGTTAGTGGCTGACCTGCTCTGCCACCTGAGCTACAGCCACCCGTAATGTGGGAGAAATTCTATGTAAGAAGTTTCTGTGGGACATCAGTAATATCATCCAGGATCTTTACATTAAAACATGTCAGTAAACCATGTCTGTCCTTCTGTGGCTCATATCTCAGTGTTACATTAAACACTCAGAGTGTATGAGCTCTACTCTCTGTGAAATACACTCACAATAAGGTGCAGCGTCAAATCACACAATTCATGAACAAATGAAGTAAATGAATTTCTGTCTCTTTGCAGATGACGAGCATCACTGCAGCCACAGATATGAAGTGATGCTGCATCACAGTGAGTAAAACTGAATCTTTCTTTTTCTTTCATTGTTGCAGTTTATTCATAGCTGCACAGTGAATCTGCTGAACTACAAACACAAATCCAAACACTGTACTTACACGAACTCAGCTCTAAAGTTCTGCATAGTGAAAAAATCACTTTAGTTTTGGGTCAAATTAAAGTAAATTTTATGTGCTGTATATTCTGTAATAAATACTTATAAACAACATTCCCTCTAAGCTGCACGTGCGCAATTACGCACAAAAAAAATCTAACCTGAATTGAAATTAAAATAAACACGTCAATAATCCTGTTCTGCAGTGTTAGTCAGTGACTGGCTGCTCCTGTATGGGATCAGAACCATGCCGCCTTATCCCACAGTCCAGCCAATCACGCGATTCACCTTCGTATATACGCAGCTAATCACCGTGGCTGACAGGCTATGACAGCGTCCTTATGTGCCCACACCGGTGTTTTAGCAAAGCAGCTGATGTGGAGTGAAGCCACGTTAATGACAACGTGTACAACCACTGGAGACGTGAGCAGGACAGACAATAGCTTCTTCTTCTTCTTCTTGGTTGGCAACCGATGTTAAGGCGCATTACCGCCCCCTGGCTCACAGCTCAGTGGACATTTAGATGAGAAAATATGTATTTGACACATTTAAGGAAAATACTAATAAAATAAAATAAAAATAAATAAAATAAATGTTCCCTTTAGAATTTTTTTTGCTCTTTTTTGCTCTGTAAAATAGTTGTTTTTCTTTTTCAATCACTCATCTTAGCAGCAGGATTTACATGAAAAGAGAAACAAATTAACTTTGAGTGAAAATGTACATTTTTTGCACTCTCTGGTCAACTGACTCAGTGACTCAAATGACTCAACAAAGCTGATTCACTTTGGTGAGTGACTCATTAAAACTCGATTCAGTAAAAAGAATCGAATTTACCATCACTA